CGTGATACCAGTCAACATCGTGTCCATCAGCTGCTAAAAACTTGATGGCGCAGATTTGACACCCAAAAGCAGAGGATTGTACTGGAACAAGCCGCGGTGAATCTTTATCGTCAGTAGCTCTTTTCACTAATCAGCAACGTTCATTTGGCGACATGCATCTGATAAATCCAGTTTGGCGAAACAAGTACCACTGTGTGCGACAACCAGCCATATAACTCAGTATCTTTAACCGTCGGTGATCATGACCTCGGGGTCCCCGGCCAGAGAGTCTAACGGGATCTGTGTGACCCAACCTCCTGTTTATGGTTTTCATACCCTCATGCCAAGTCTTAGTTTGACCATCCTGACCTTTTTCCAATCGCCATCTGCCTCGGCAAACATCACTAATCGGGGCAATGTATCTGGTGACATGCGTAACACATGCCCAACCAACGTTATCTATGGAGGTCGACCATTTGCTCCAGTAAGCGACCGCGAATACCTAAAATTCTGCTCCCTAACCTCAGCATTGCTCACCTGGTTACCCCACCAGATTCGTGCAATGCTGCGTAGACAGCGGCGTTCGACAATCCATTTTTAGCCTGTTCCCGTGGCGGCCAAGTCTCTGTGCCGTATAGCAGAACTGGTCGAACTGCCGCGGCATTCACTCGACCCTTAACAGACAGCCGGATGTCGCGACAGTACCACAGATGGCTCAAGTTGGCAAATGCCAACCGAGCTTCTTGTATGCACGCCGACACTTCATCTGTGATGCGTCCACCAGATGAGATATAGCTGCCCAGATAGCAAAACTTCCCCCACTTCCTCTACTGCTTTCCCAGTCAGGGTGAGATTAAAGGGTTGGACCAACCTAATTTTGTAGCAACATTTTACACTTTGAAGGTGCTAAACGCATACAGAGCACGAATAAACGAGCACTCAAACTGTCCAGAAAAGCTTGCAAATCACCTGGATCTCCACTTAGCAGCACAATGTCATCTGCATACTCTGCATACTCAGCTGGGAGTAAATCGATGCAACTATCTTCGCATGAGGATAGGGCTGTTTCAAGAATAAAATCTATCACGAAGTTAAACAGAAACACCACTTTTTCTGGTGAACGCGGGCCGTAAGCTCGGACGCGGCTTCGGCTATTACTATAAAGCGATTGTAATATTGAAATAATCTTCTCGGGTACACCCTTCAGAACAAGGCAGACCACAATAGGAGCTGTTCATGATGCATAATTAACCAGCTTGATGACATCAGATGGTTGTAGTCGGTCTGGTTCAGCGTTGAATAGTTCAGTGGAGCCATAGGGTACAGTGAGTTTGGATTTAAACAATGGTTTGGAATCTGGCTTCAGTGAAAGTGGTGCATGTGTATTGACCGTAGGGTTCCTGCAATATATATGCGAATTTCTGCTTGTGCTTATATCGTATCAGAGATGGAGGCTGGAACCTTGTTCTGAATAGGGACTTGGTGGCATACCTTGTTCACAGGAATATCAAAGAAGCCGATTTTTGGATCCAATCAAGATCAAGAAGATTTAGGCTGGATCGAGTTGTCCTTTTGCTGCAATGCCTCGAAATGGAATGTCAAAGTCGATTTCATCAGTAAATCTCGACCCACCTCCTCACGCATTTTTAGCTTTTTGTAGATGGAATAATAGCTGGCCTCCCGCTGTGGTCCTGCGTGCCTCTGGAGATTAGAGTGATTTCTGAGGCTGTGTCCAGCTGCAGTTTGGCTAGTCTGCCAATGATGAGCATATTCGGAAATTTCATCTTTGGTTGGCTACCTGTTTGAAAAGCCGCTACGACTGAGCATTTTTCTGTTAGATTCCCTGTGAACGGCTTTCTTCTGACTGCCATGAGCGTGTCTCGTTGACCAGCAGCATTTTTCCTTGTGACCCCGTTTGTTGCACTATTGACAGATGTGCTTTTTGAAGGGGGAAAACGTACCAAGTGCCATACACCACAGAAACAACAGACAGAGGGTAGCTTACTTGTGGGGGGTTTCGAGGATTCAAATTTCGGCAAAGGTGGCTGATTCTCTGAGCAATACATAAAATGAACGTCAGCTATGAAAGTCTTCTGATCGACCAAAGCAGGGTCATGCTTTAGGGAGAGAATACGCCTACATTCGGCAATGAGACTTCAGGCTCATATTCGAGTCCTGATTAAGTCTGGATAGTAAACGGGTACGAATGTCGGCAGCTTCTGGATTCTGTAAAGCCCTGATGAAAATGAGGCACCTGAATTGGTCACTGGTCAATGAGCGAAGCTTGAACCGACCGCACTTACGATTGATGGTCAACATGCCGCAATCCTCTCCATCCCGTTGGTCAATTTTCAGACACAATTAAAAAAACACTAAGAAAACTACAGCGTAGTTATTACGTCCGATACGGAGATGGTCACAAACCGAAACTGCAGCTCCATACGGCGGATTTAACTCAGCTCTAATGAACAAATACGGGCGGTAAACAGTGTCTCTTCGGTCCATGAATGCGTGCGAATCTGAGCGCTTACTTCAACACGATGGTGCGATAATCAAGGAACAACTGTTTCCGAATAAACCAAACCGATCCGCTTTCATGCGTTGGGTTTACGCTGTCAAATAGTGGGGGCTATTCTAAACATGCACACCCATGTTGGGGAATGTAACCTAATAGCATGAGGTTGAAAAATGAACATGATATATCATGCAGAGCAATAACTTACGAATCTCATAACGAAGACATTCAATTCCCCACGGTTCAGCTGCCTTGCCCAGAACATGCACGATTTGTAGATTTAATGCTTCACGTTCCTTGAACACGTTATCCAAGTTGATTTTACCTATTTCTGAGCGCATTGTGGTTTGCGCAAGCTTTTATCGAAGGATACAGTGGGCGAGAAAAGGAGCAGAAAAGAGAAAGGCTATAAGGACTAACCGCCGTATCCTGAAAAAATAAACCAGTATTATTTTAGTTTGCAGCAATATACTAATGAAGTAGGTGTTTTAGAGGTGATGTTCTGCATTTTGAGTGCAACTTAATGCCAAATCTTGTGACAGACAATGATGGTAGTAATAATCTAAGGGTATGTAGTGCTGTCTGCTTATGTTGGCACACCTTTTCAGTTGATAAATCAGCTGCAACTTAATCTCGTTAGCTATATGCATAATATGGGCTGAGTATGGTTACGAAAAGAGGAACAAACTAGGATGAACCAGCAGTAATTTATGGATCAACACGTGGTTGTGAAATTTTCATAGCATCAAGACAATAAAGTAACATACAGTCAAGCGAAAAAACGGTGGGGCAGTACCAGCAGCTCATGACAGCGCTGGTAGGAACGTCTGCCCGGAAGACAAATAAGCGTCAACAGTAATTGTAACGATTTGAGCCCCGGCAGCGGCTAAGTTTCCAACAACGAACAAAAGCTTGTGATTTTATGCCACTACAAACGTGCCAGTTACGAATAAAAAAACTGTAATTTTAGTGCTAAAGGTTCGTCAAATGTACTTAATATAAAGATTCCAAGAAATTAGGGGCTACGAAAGTAGCGTGAAATGTAAATACGGACAGCACTACTCATCAGTAGCCTGAAACATATTTGGAAGAAAATTTCTAAGGGATGTACTGTTTCCATGTGTTTTTACCACCCTGAAAGAGGTCATATTAATTTCCAGATTCATAAAACTTCTTCCCCGAATTAAAAGTATAACCAGAAGCGTCCTGGTATATTTTAATGTGTGTTAGCCTATCTACACATGCGAAATAATAGCTGATGGAATCATGAGCAACGAAGATCACTGTTTGCACGACGAACTTCTTAAATCCGTGTCAAACTCCCATACCTCTTCAGATTATAATCTCATCCCCGCACGTACTGTCACATACAGAAACACCAAACTTCTTTTTACTGGTCCACTCCTTAGTGAACCGGGTCTAGTGGATCGCTTAATGAACTGGTCTATTTAATTATTTCTTAAGCTGTCATTATCGTCTTCTTGATCGCAATGTGCTGTCGTTTTTTACCCCCTTCACACTGCGTTTTCCCCACTTTTATTACGTTCTCTCTCGCTCTGTGAAATTCACCATTTGAGTACATGAAGAAAATGAAAAATGAATGCGTATTCACATTCAGAAAACAGGAATTCACTGCAAATAGACCAAGCTGAATACAATATTCCGTATTTTATAAGTTCTAGAATAAAGCTGTTGGGAAACGATCATGCTAGGTAACAAGGTTAACGCAAAACTTTAAATCTTAAAAGTCCGTTAATATAGCAGTTTAACTTGATTCCTTTAGCTTTTAGAAAATTGAGACCATCCTCTGATATTTTTGCTGTTTAACCTTTCTGATTTTAGTCAACTTCTTCCGCCATACGATGTTTCGAACCCGCCCATCGTAACAGGAAGAGGGACACTGTTGATGTGGTTTCCGTATGAGTTGTCGAAGTCTGCTGTGTTATTCTTTTCTAATTCAAGTCAGCTATTTAGCACAAGCGATTAGCATCCGACTCATGAAGCCTGAGCTGCCGCACAACGCAAATTGATTTAGGCTATCAAACTCCCCTGGCCAGGGGAAGAGTAAATCGCTTGTCCACATGACCATAACGTAACCACTTTGGTTATGTGATCCAAACTGCGCACCAATTTTGAGTTCTCTTGGGCTCACTGCAAAACACATGACTTATCCACCTTTCTGTTTGACCGTAATGAAATTGTTTCATATATATGTGATTGTAAAGGCTTGAAAAGGAATTCACCGAAAACATATGTTCGCCCTCAAAGCACAGTTTAGCTGGCCACCAGCATCAGCTCCTCACGCAGATATACCGACACACGTCCCATGGTGTGTCACAACAGACCCACCTTCTGAGGCGGAAAGCCAAAAAGAGATCCAAGCCTTAGGACGTCACAAAGCGTCGGGCTCCGATGGCCTTCCACTGCTCTAAAAAAAGATGATAAAATAAAGCTTGTTAGAGAACTATGCGTTCTCTTCTCTAAAGTGTGGAATACTGAGCAAGTCTCCTCTTCTTGGAGGGGTGGATTTATTGTTGTCCCCATCTTCAAAATTGGCCCGCACAGTGACTGCGCCAATCAAAGAGGTATAGGCCTGATCCCGATAGCGTCAAAGCGGTTGGCATTCTCCGCCAATTGTACACTACGCGTGAGGAGCAGACCCGCGAAGGGTAGGCTCGGTTTCGTGCCGCTTGTGGATGCACCGATCAAATCATCACCCTCCGATAGCTGCTAGAGCACCGTCATGCCTACCAAAGACCAACGATCATTGTATTCTTAGACATCCGCGCGACCTTCGACTCTGTCGACAGGGCCGCACTATGGAACTGTTTGTTGAGGAATGGAGTACCTGATAAGTATGAGTCCATCCTCAAAGAGTTGTATCGTCATACCTCAGGTCGGGTTAGGGCATATGGCCAGCTTTCGGCACCCTTCACCGTCTCCAGTGGAGCTCGAAAAGGCTGCCCTATATCCCGATTCCATTTAAACTTTGTCATAGAGGATGTTCTACAGAATGCTTTGTCCGGTCTAGCAAATGGTGGAGTCGAACTCCTCCCAGGGAACAGAGTTCTTGACTTGGAATATGCCGATGACATCGTCTTGCTGGGTGACAACACACAGGCAGTCCAAGAGGCTTTGAACCACTTGGCGATCGATCAATGTATGTATGCTATGTGCTTTGCATCATCCAAGTGTAAAGTGCTGGTTCAAGACTGGCAGGAGCCTGCGTCTGCACTCACCCTCTGTGGTGATCAGCTGACAGTAGCTGAGAGCTTTAAGTACTTCGGGAGCTTGATCGCATCTGGTGGTGGTGTTGGGGAGGGGATCACATCACGAATAGCGAAAGCTAAAGCAGCTTTCGCCAGCCTAAGACACCTGTGGCGCCGCCATGACATCCGACTGTCCCTTAGGGTGTGCATCGCCGAAGTTCGTAGCGTTCTGATTTGCGGTTGCGAAACCTGTCCTCTCCGGGCGGAAGATGCTAATCGACTTTCTGTATTCGACTACCGATGTCTCCGAAGCATTGGTGCGAACATCGCGCGAGCAATGACGCTTCGTCGTCGTGTTGGGTGTGGATAGTCGCTCCATAACAGAAGTAATCGCTCTACACCGTCTCCGATGGCTTGGTCACGTTTTGCATATGCCTGCCCATTGATTACCTTTCCGTGTTCTCTTTGCACGTACCGGGCAAGGCT